TGCTACTGCCGCTGCTACTACCACTGCTGCTGTTGCCGCATTGCTGCTGCTACTGCCAGGCTGTCGCTGCTGCTGTTACTGCTGCTACCGCTGCTGCTACTGTTGCTGCCTGTACCCTGACAAAAACTGTGCTTTGCTTCATGTAGTTGTTGATAAGTGTTCTGTTCACCGGTGGTAAAAGTGCTTTGGTGATAAGATAATCGGTCTCTCCAACACAAACCTTTACCATTGTTGCTGTCACATGAACTATGCGGTATTAGAATCCAGTTTTATGCCGAATTCTTTGAGCCTCATGAATAGAATCGAGCACTTTCTGGTTCCCGAGTTAGCAATTTTCCTGCCAAAAAATTTCACCGGTCCGCGTATAAGAATCACGTAATCCTAGGGGCTGAATTTGAAATCTTTTGCTTTTTTTTTGCAGGATAATGGCAGCAATGCACGAAGAAGGCGGTTATTTGGGTGCCATGACATATCAGTGCCTATACAGTGGCGTAATAGATCGCGTTGTGCAGAGTCGTCGCAATGATAGTTCTGCTGCTCAGTCACTTCAGGTTTCGTTCGTTTTTTTTTTTTTATCACTTCGATTTTGCTCATTTTTATGCATTTTATGCTATGTAACAGCAGTACAAAACATATATTGTCACGGAGTTGCCTGTGTATGTATGTGTGTGTTTGTGTGTATGTATGTATGTGTGTGTGTGTGTGCGTGTGTGTGTCCGCAGCAACTTCTCCCCAACTTTCAACTCGAGGACCAGAAAAGCCAGAAAGCTGACAATACAGGAAGATGTTCCTCACCCACGTGTGACTACGCAAATTTAAATTCAGCGTTCTCGCACACTCGGGTATCAAGTATGGCCCCTTGGAAATTTTGACGGGGAATTATTATCTCGAGTATCAGAAAAGCTAGGAGGCTGAAAATTTCAGGAGAATGGTTTCTGCCTATGCAAGGGCCTTATGAACTCAAATTTAGTTCCTAAGTGTGCCTATATCTCACTTACGACCACGTAAAAGTTCGGGCGACAAAATCACTCAAAATTCATAAAGTTAGAAATTTGAAATTTTGAAAGGATGTTCACCGTCCAAAGTTTCAAAAATTCAGTCTCGCAGCTCAGGGGCCAGACAAAAATTTCAACTATTTTTGCACAGAATAAAACGGAAAACAGTGAAAATCCTTCGCAGGCAATCGTTCGACGGACGGAATTGCACAAAACGCATTATCGCACCGGCTGCTGTTGTGCGAGCCGCTGTTTGTTGCTTTTTTACCAGTTTGGTTGATGGCATGACAGCGAACGTCGATGATATACAATTTCTTAAGTATTCAAGTAACGTGATTGTTTTTGCAGAGGTTGAGGACAGCGCTCGGGCAAGCCGATCTCGCATCACCGTCTTTTCTGTTCGATTTCACGAAAATTTTGCTCAGTGACTCAAAACTAAGCATTAATTTACAGGTAATTTTACCCTTTGGGTAACTCTGTTTTTATTATTCGTCTGAAGTTCAACCATCTGGTCCCCGAGTTAGCGATTTTCCTGTTAAAGTTTCACGTTATCAAACGCTGGACCCAGACGTGTGTGAGTGTTGGTACCGCGTACCTGGGATTTGTTTCATGGGCTGCCTTTGAAAGCAGTTTTCCATATAATGTTTTGAAATAAAGAGAAATGAATAGTGGCTGTGCAACTGGTAAGGAAAGATAATTGCTGGATGTCCAAAAAACGCCTGAGATTGTTAGAGTAAAAATCACTAGTGACGCGGACCAAACGGTCCAATGCGATCATGCGTTTTTGCAGTATTTCTTGCTGTAGTGAGATTTTTCGGAAACCCAGCAGCTAGAAACTGTGACATACTGATTCTCGAAGTCCGGGAAGTTGACTGTGCTACTACGCAGTACTTGCACAGGGAACATTCCGCTGAAATT